ACGGACTGCCTAACTCATCCTTTACATCTATCTGTACACACTAGGTTCACATTCTGCACTCACATCACAACACAACACAACACATCACAACATCTCAGCTTGTCGAGTGTGCCTAACTCCAATCATCTGGCATGTTGGTTTTCACCAGTCTGTCAATCGTCTATTCACTCATCCATCATGTGTCGATGGATGTCAAGCAGCAAGATGTGTTGTGTATTTCTATGTGCATTTGTATGTGTATGTGTGTGTATGCGCCTTCACATGCGCATTAGCTATGTGTGCATTGAGTGCTGGTTGGACTGTCGCACTTGAAGTGAAGCTAGCTAACCACTATCCACTATCCAATAACCACCAACCACTAACCACTAATCACTAAGAACTGGTCGGTGATTCAGATAGTGCTGGTGCTAATGTTGGTGCTTTTGCTGATAAATTGTGTCAGATTGGATATCCTACTGAATTGTGGTATATCATCGACGGTGTGGATAATGTGAGCGAATGTGACAGGTGAATTAGTGCTTGTCAAGTGGATGTGGCAATAATTGTATGCGAGTGAAGTATGCAGTATTGTGTGTTTGTAAGATTGTGTGTTGGTCAGTGTGAATGGTGAGTTGTGGAGTGTTTGCAGAGTGTTTGTGTGCATGTAGTGTAGTGAGTGTGAGGTGTAGCCTTGTTATGGGTGTGGATTTGACAGGCGTAATAGACTTCATAACTCTGGTGTCTCCTCATTTGCGGATAAATCTTTCGCCTTTTACTAAAGATTTCCGTGGGGAGGCACAATACAATGAGTCTTCTCTCATTTTTTCCAGCTCTGTCTTCGGACAGAGTAATACTGAGTAACATAGTTAGAGTTAACTGGTTGTCGTGGTGTCCTGTTCTCTTCACTGTCAGTCGACGCAATCATCCACTCACCTCATTATCAACACCCATTACAGGATATGCATCCTCATGTCACCAGCATCACCACACTTCAAACTATCTCACTCTCCCTCCCTCTCCCTCTCCCTCTCGCTCAACAACTTCCACCCTCCTCATCTCCAGCAACGCACATCTCAATCAAATACGCCACACAACCTCATATCACACCACAATCAAATATACTCATCACACACCACACAATCAAATTTCCATACATCTCCCATCTCCCAACCAACCAGCATTGTTAGTGTTGCACAGACACAGACACAGGCAGTAGCAGTAGCAAGATTTCACCATTATGCTACATTACAATTACATTCAGATATATGTCAAAATCTGATTAACACTGTCATACTTATTCATACAATAAGACCTGCAGTCTGACCCCCTAATACAATCAACTCAACTATCAAATATCTCACATAACTAACTACATAACTACCAAACCAACTAGTTACCTAATTCCCTACACTCCTGCATAACCACCTACCTACATACCTACATACCTACATACCTATCTAACCAACTACACACTGCTACCAGTCTTCTTTATCTACACTGTTTATAGTTAATTCGTGTGAAGAACAAACACACAATCATCTGTCTCATCAATCCCTTCCTTGTGAAACACTCACTGACGGACTGCCTAACTCATCCTTTACATCTATCTGTACACACTAGGTTCACATTCTGCACTCACATCACAACACAACACAACACATCACAACATCTCAGCTTGTCGAGTGTGCCTAACTCCAATCATCTGGCATGTTGGTTTTCACCAGTCTGTCAATCGTCTATTCACTCATCCATCATGTGTCGATGGATGTCAAGCAGCAAGATGTGTTGTGTATTTCTATGTGCATTTGTATGTGTATGTGTGTGTATGCGCCTTCACATGCGCATTAGCTATGTGTGCATTGAGTGCTGGTTGGACTGTCGCACTTGAAGTGAAGCTAGCTAACCACTATCCACTATCCAATAACCACCAACCACTAACCACTAATCACTAAGAACTGGTCGGTGATTCAGATAGTGCTGGTGCTAATGTTGGTGCTTTTGCTGATAAATTGTGTCAGATTGGATATCCTACTGAATTGTGGTATATCATCGACGGTGTGGATAATGTGAGCGAATGTGACAGGTGAATTAGTGCTTGTCAAGTGGATGTGGCAATAATTGTATGCGAGTGAAGTATGCAGTATTGTGTGTTTGTAAGATTGTGTGTTGGTCAGTGTGAATGGTGAGTTGTGGAGTGTTTGCAGAGTGTTTGTGTGCATGTAGTGTAGTGAGTGTGAGGTGTAGCCTTGTTATGGGTGTGGATTTGACAGGCGTAATAGACTTCATAACTCTGGTGTCTCCTCATTTGCGGATAAATCTTTCGCCTTTTACTAAAGATTTCCGTGGGGAGGCACAATACAATGAGTCTTCTCTCATTTTTTCCAGCTCTGTCTTCGGACAGAGTAATACTGAGTAACATAGTTAGAGTTAACTGGTTGTCGTGGTGTCCTGTTCTCTTCACTGTCAGTCGACGCAATCATCCACTCACCTCATTATCAACACCCATTACAGGATATGCATCCTCATGTCACCAGCATCACCACACTTCAAACTATCTCACTCTCCCTCCCTCTCCCTCTCCCTCTCGCTCAACAACTTCCACCCTCCTCATCTCCAGCAACGCACATCTCAATCAAATACGCCACACAACCTCATATCACACCACAATCAAATATACTCATCACACACCACACAATCAAATTTCCATACATCTCCCATCTCCCAACCAACCAGCATTGTTAGTGTTGCACAGACACAGACAGACACAGGCAGTGGCAGTAGCAGTAGCAGTAGCAAGATTTCACCATTATGCTACATTACAATTACATTCAGATATATGTCAAAATCTGATTAACACTGTCATACTTATTCATACAATAAGACCTGCAGTCTGACCCCCTAATACAATCAACTCAACTATCAAATATCTCACATAACTAACTACATAACTACCAAACCAACTAGTTACCTAATTCCCTACACTCCTGCATAACCACCTACCTACATACCTACATACCTATCTAACCAACTACACACTGCTACCAGTCTTCTTTATCTACACTGTTTATAGTTAATTCGTGTGAAGAACAAACACACAATCATCTGTCTCATCAATCCCTTCCTTGTGAAACACTCACTGACGGACTGCCTAACTCATCCTTTACATCTATCTGTACACACTAGGTTCACATTCTGCACTCACATCACAACACAACACAACACATCACAACATCTCAGCTTGTCGAGTGTGCCTAACTCCAATCATCTGGCATGTTGGTTTTCACCAGTCTGTCAATCGTCTATTCACTCATCCATCATGTGTCGATGGATGTCAAGCAGCAAGATGTGTTGTGTATTTCTATGTGCATTTGTATGTGTATGTGTGTGTATGCGCCTTCACATGCGCATTAGCTATGTGTGCATTGAGTGCTGGTTGGACTGTCGCACTTGAAGTGAAGCTAGCTAACCACTATCCACTATCCAATAACCACCAACCACTAACCACTAATCACTAAGAACTGGTCGGTGATTCAGATAGTGCTGGTGCTAATGTTGGTGCTTTTGCTGATAAATTGTGTCAGATTGGATATCCTACTGAATTGTGGTATATCATCGACGGTGTGGATAATGTGAGCGAATGTGACAGGTGAATTAGTGCTTGTCAAGTGGATGTGGCAATAATTGTATGCGAGTGAAGTATGCAGTATTGTGTGTTTGTAAGATTGTGTGTTGGTCAGTGTGAATGGTGAGTTGTGGAGTGTTTGCAGAGTGTTTGTGTGCATGTAGTGTAGTGAGTGTGAGGTGTAGCCTTGTTATGGGTGTGGATTTGACAGGCGTAATAGACTTCATAACTCTGGTGTCTCCTCATTTGCGGATAAATCTTTCGCCTTTTACTAAAGATTTCCGTGGGGAGGCACAATACAATGAGTCTTCTCTCATTTTTTCCAGCTCTGTCTTCGGACAGAGTAATACTGAGTAACATAGTTAGAGTTAACTGGTTGTCGTGGTGTCCTGTTCTCTTCACTGTCAGTCGACGCAATCATCCACTCACCTCATTATCAACACCCATTACAGGATATGCATCCTCATGTCACCAGCATCACCACACTTCAAACTATCTCACTCTCCCTCTCGCTCAACAACTTCCACCCTCCTCATCTCCAGCAACGCACATCTCAATCAAATACGCCACACAACCTCATATCACACCACAATCAAATATACTCATCACACACCACACAATCAAATTTCCATACATCTCCCATCTCCCAACCAACAAGCATTGTTAGCGCTGCACAGACACAGGCAGTAGCAATTCTTCACTACTATGCTATAGTACAATTACATTCAGATACATGTCACAATCTGAATAAGAGTCTTATACGATAGGACCTTAGTTTTTTGCTTGAGTGGGACCTGTTCGCCCACGGGTGTTCTCCTTTCTGAATGTTTTATCTGTTTTTTGTATTTTGGTTTATGAATTCATTGGTTTAAAATGTTCGGAGAGTGAAAGTTTTTTTGCGGTGTATGATGGTCACTTTTTTTATGGGTTATGGTGAAAATGAGACGTCAGATAACGGAGCTAGATACACATAAGTATGAAACGTGAGCACTGTGGTAGATTATAATTTCACGTTAGATTTGCATGGTTGATATGGTAATTAGTGATACAGTAAATAATAGTGTATCACTGTTTGTCATATCTAATCTGATTCACTGGATAATTTTCGTTTGGCTGCATGTCATATAGTACTGGAAGTATAGGCACTTTAAAGGTTTCCCTACTGTCTTCAAAGTGGATGTTATTTTCGCAGTCTAACTGAAAATGAAGGTTTAGACGACTGGCGACACAATGACATGCTACTGTTTAAAAGTTTTAGATTTTAATTTCAAATCTGATTATGGCTGTCACGAGAATGCGAAGAGGATTTTTCAATTTAGAGTGCCGACCTTACGTACTGTTCTATTCCATGGAGAAAGTAGCATCCCTATGGCATTTACGTATATGATACACATTGTTGCTTAGGCCTCCATATGTTTTATTGATAGATATGTTCGCAAATAGTATTTTTTTCAGGTACAGATATTCCCATAGATAATATTTACAAAAATAGTTATAGGAAACTAACAATAATTAGACTGTACATGATTGTTTTAGCAATTTGAGCTTTGAAAGCGTTTGAATTGATGAATCCAAGTATTTTGTCTGACCACTAGTCGGTTTGACCAGTTTTCCTCGTGAAACGACGATCAACTGAAGAGAAATATCCATAAAAACAAAACAAAAACAGTGAATAGGTCGGTAAACACAAAGAGTCACTAATCAAGTATAATTGACGACTAACAGCTGACAGGAAAGACTACCTATTCAGGAGGTCAACATTTTTACGGTGCTTAATTAAAGGAAATAAAATAAAAAAACGTATGGAGGCATAATTGAAACGAATAACGACTGTTTATTTCAGCTGATTGTTTGACACTATGACTGATTCTGTTTATTCAACTCAAGTAATCTGTCCCAAGTAAACAAAGCTAAAAACTATGAAGCCTGTCAAACATATAAACACGCTGAATGTGGCAGACAAGTTGATACACATACCACTAGTATGCAAACAACAGGTGGACAGAAAAATGATGATAATAGAGTAGACAAATGTATATTTCAAGTTGTTATTCATCGAAGACTGACATCAGTTGGAGGAACAAAAGAAATCTGGGAGCACTGGACAGCTGTTTCGTCCACCTAGTATGGGACTGCTCAGTAGTGCGCACCTACGACCCCGCCAGGGATCAAACCCACGACCTTCAGGTTCCGCGGCCAGCGCGTTACCATTGAGCTAGCCACTGGGTCAGAATCCAATGCTCCATATTTCCAACTTCTGTTAGCTCACGATATGTATATGACAGTTGAGAGAATAAACGGATAGAGACTCGTGAAATGCTGAAGACATTAAACGTAACAAAGAGTGTATCCATTTACGTCACTATGAGTGATTTCAAGCAGTGTCTTAAAGAGTTCCACAATATTGATGTTTATCGTCTTGAAGAGCAGATAAGAAGACAGACAAAATCAATGTAGAGCCTTGAACACAAGTGTATCTGTTCAACTTGCCAAAATTCACAGTATTATACAAAAAACAAGTGTATAGGAAAGACTGATATAAACGCAGACAAAGGTGTGGGGGGGGGGGAGAAGGGGGGAAATTAAAATAAAGGCTAATGAATACATCTGCGATTCTACGATCGATTTTCAGCCATGTGACCAACAGTCCTCTCAACCATTGATTCCTATCGTCTCAGGGACTACAATCAGGTAGTTTACACCTCTCTACACGGCTCCGATCAACAGCTGGAGACTTTACGTACTAGTGTCACGTCTTAGTCCAACTTTCCCTAGCATCGCACATGGGGTTGGTTGTTGCGCCGGCATACACAGTACATGTCCAAGCCACCTTAGTCAATGAAGGTCCACAACCTCATAGACTAACTTGCCTTTCTTCCTAGTACCCTTCGCCCGACCTCAACATCGCTCACACGATGATTCTATCATCAAAGAGAAATGCTACCAAGACACCTATGATCAAAACCCAGTAACTGCTTCATATCTTCTACTTTCAATAGTCATGTTTTACAGCTGTATAAAAAGATAGAACAAACTGGAGTGCAGTATACTTGTCGTTTCATACATAGTTGAATATCTCGTCAGTCGGCATTACAGGATAAAACAAGCTCGAAAATCCCAAACTAACCTTCTGTATCCAGGCTGAGATTTCGTCTGCCACCAGCCTGTTCGGGTTGATGCTACTCCCCAAGTAAGTGCGGTGGTCGATACATTCCCGATCATTAAACTGGGAGAGCACTTACAGCTGACCAGTCCTGCAGCATCATCTTACATTTGACAGGTGCCACCAAACGCATATCAGTCACACACTCAGATTTCCGCTCAACGCGTTCACAAGACCTTGCACTGCGTCAGCGCCTTCACCTAGCAGGACAACATTATCTGAGTACGGCAAGTCAACCACACACCTCCAGGAAGTAGATCAATCTCTATGACGTCAGACGTACTAAGGCTATGTCCGCTAGTACCTCTATGACGAAGTTAAACAGGAACGGTGGGCATCCCTACCAAACACCACTAGCTGTCTTCAATCCTGATGACAACTCTCCATAAGCCTTGTCACGACTGTGTGAGTTCGAGTAGAGAGCTTCGAATAGCACTACATACTTGCTTGATACTCATTTCAACCAAACACAGCTACATCTCGCAGTCAACAGAGTCAAATGCCGCCTTCGCCTCAAGAAATGTGGAAACTGTTGGCAGTTGGCCAATAAGTATGTCTGTGTTCCAGGAACTGTCAAAAAGTGAAAATTTGACTAATACACTCTCACTCAAGTCTGAAATCTGCCCAGCTTTTTCGAGTTTATTGTTGTCGAGCTTCACTTAGGCAACAGAAACCTATGGATCCAAAGATCTTGGACACAATATTAGTCGAACTGATTCCCCAATGGTTACCACAGGAAGGCCGGTCTCTCCTCTTAAAGAACAGGATGATCAGTGAAGTAGACCACTCTGACGGAACTACCTCTGATTCCTATATACTGCTTAGTACCTTCGTTACTCTACTCAGTAATTTCCCACATTTATCCTTAAAAATGTCGGGTGGGAAACCGTCAGGTTCTGCTACTTTACTTAGTTTGAGGTTTCAAAATAGCTTTCTCAACTTTGACGAGAGGTGGAAGACCCACATCTACGTCTTATTCTGTTTCAGGTTTGATTCTGAGTAACTGAAGCGTTGGGCCAGTTGTAGACCAATGTTGTAGCCGTCTATTCTGAGAGGTTATCAACGGCCCATCCTTTTTGGTGATGGTTTCACTAAATATAGTTTTCCTGTTGCCAGTATCCTCAATAAATTTAAATAGTTGCCGGGTGTTACCTAACGCTGATGCCTTCTTGTGGTCCCCGTGAATCCAGTTTTCATGTCACTATACAGCTCAGATCAAGAATCAAGACTTCATCAACTGCTGCAATATTATGATTTGGCCAACTTAACACTACGTCGACAAACATGATACATCCAGGTAGGTGGTGGTGGGCTCGACATGCGTAATGCATATCTAAGCCATGCCAGTCGGTCAACATTAGTAACCTTCCCTTGCTTGCCTAGTAACCCCTCATCTACCATCCATATTGCTTACATGGTGATTCCACCATACGTGAACAATGCTATGAAAACACCTATGGTTAACTTCCACAGCCGCACAATTAGGAATATCAAACTGATGCGCAGTCTACTCACCTTTCGACATATATATTGGCAGGTGGTTGAATATTTTTCACCAGCGACAAGGGTGGTCCAGGTGTTAGCAGATTCCAAACAGTTCTTTTGAGGATCAACTCAACACATTCTATTATTTTGTTCTCGATTAGTAAACTAAAAAGTCTGTGTAGATCAGAAGGAAAACATCATCTTCTAATTGATAGATGAGAAACGCATATCAAAAATGCTTCAGTCACCTCTTCGGGAATTTCGACTTTTCCAATACTGGTCAACTAGACTGAAACTATCATTATCATAAAACAAAATCCTTTGAAATCAGAATACTCATGACAGCTGTTTATTTTTAGTCTGAAACAGTTTCCTAGTAGTCCGCCGGAAGAATATATGTCAAGGTAGAAATCAAAACCTTTATTACCACTTTGGAGTATCTCCTGAAAACGTTAACTGACATCACAAAGTGTGTGATGACAAACAAGAAGTCGAGACCTACTATTCAGTAACCTTGTGCATATTCTTGCAGTAGGCAATGAGCCATACCTGTTGTGCGAAGGTTAATGATACTACCCTGGTAAGCGGAGCGGTTCTCGAACCCATGACCCACTTAGTTGTAAGTCAACTTCCTAAACCAACCCCAACGATGATAGAGAACGTTGAAACGATTAAGAGGAAATGTTCAATGCCGTACAGCTGTATAGGATATAGAACGTAAATAAAGAGAAGTAATAATATGCAGAATACTAGTAGTAATAAAAAATTTAACATACCTGACGTAGCTGTGACTTCAAAGGTTTGGTATCATCCGGATTTTTCTTCGACGAATTTCTTCTAAAGGAAAAGATGTTAATAATTTGAAGTTTTAAAGTATATTTTTCATGACATGCAGTTGAGAATTATGCGTAAATATATGTTCAAACATTTTCGCTACTTCCCTTTCTTCAGATTACCATCAGCCTTCCACATCCTCGTCTTCTAATCCTCCTTCACACCAGTTAAACGATATTCCTACGTCGTTTGTAAGTTTTGTCAGCTCTGTAGCTCCCGACGACATTACGAGTTCATAGAGTAGCGCACTACTAGTCTCTTGAAACCAAGCTCCAAACTACACATTGCAGCTCTTAATGTTCACACCCTCCGTAAAATCAGCCAACAAGCTTCGCTAGTCAGAACTCCGACTTGATGTCTAGTTCTTGTTGTGTATTGCAGGTGTATGTAAAGCAGGCTCTTGGCCAGTACAAGAAATGCAAAATTAGATAGGTTAAGCCACGTTGAACCGATATAACGAAACGAATACCTGGGCTGTGGACCTCCTGAAAAATCCTTCGCTGCTCAAACTAAAAGAATTTTGCCCACAGGTTTTATATCAAGTACACTAACTACCAATCCGGATAAGATAGTAAAAACTATTTTCCTTATCGGTTAAGTTATATATTTAATTTCCTGTTCCATAGTGCCCATTTATTATGTACAATTACATCTGCGCATAATCAAATCTGTAATGCAATTCAACACTGAACATGCTTGTGTACCAGGTCAAGTGACAATAGTGTGAGGGCTCGTTGCTTGGAAAATCTCAGTTCAGATATAGAAGGTAAGTTTGGCATTTGCTAGCGTGGGTCATATGTTGTGCCAATTGGCAAGATATCCAACTATCTACCAAAGGACGACTATATTGTGCTGCAGTCCATCCTGTCCTCTTGTACAGGCATGAGACATGACCATTCAAAGTAGAATAAATGAAGCGGTTGCAGATGTTTGATCATAGGCATCTTCGTAACATTGCTCGCGTTTGGCAGACTCATCATGTGAGCAGTGTTGAGTTCAGGCGAAGGGTATTAGACAAGTCGACTGATGAGATTGTAAACCTTCATCGACTAAAGTGGCGCAGAAATGTGTTGTGCATGCCCAGCCACAAACTACCTCGACGTACGACGCTAGCGGAAATCGGATTAGGTTGGGAGAGAATAAGACGTGGCACTAGAGTATAAAGTCTCTGACCGTTGGTTTAAGCCATATTGGGAGATGTAGACTATCTGAGTGGGGTCCGCGAGAGGATAGAAATTAGTATTTAAGAAGAAACGGTCAAAAGCAGTAGAAAATAATGAAAGAGAGGAAGGAAGAATAGGTGATGAATTCAGTATAGTGATTAAGGTAAGAATAATGTGTGGATACATTTGCGCCAATGATATCGATTTTCAGCTGTGTAACCAAGAGTCCTCAACCACTGATTCCTGTCGTGGCAGTCTACATCGCCCCACATGGCTCAGATCAACAGTCGGGAACTTCATGCACTGGTGCTACGTCTTAGTTTGGCCACCAACAGCCTTGTTCTAACCTAATCTAACTTTCCCTAGCACGTCAAGATAGGTTGTGGCTCGGCATACGCAACACATTTCTACGCCACTTTAGTCGATGAAGGTTTACAATCTCATCAGTCGACTTATCTAATACCCTTCGCCTGAACTCAACATTGCTCACATGATGAGTTTGCCAAACGCGAGCAATGTTACGAAGACGCCTATGATCGAACACCTGCAACCGCTTCATATCATCTACTTTGAATGGTCATATCTCACATTTGTATAAGAAGACAGAACGGACTATAGCGCAGTATACTCACCGTTTGATAGATAATCGGAGACAGATAGTAGCAGACAGAAATTAAGACACGACCTAATTTAAGAAAGAATAGTGCATTTTATCCGAATGAACAGGGCTCAATACAGCAATTTAAGAATTACAAGGGTAATTAATTGTCACAGTTATTGTGTATCAGATTAAACCTGTGGTGTATATGTTAATACTAATCCATCACTGGATAGTAAACAACAGGTGCTTGAGTTTCAGTTATCCCCGACATTTGTGGAGGAAGCTAGTAATACAATCTTTAAGCTAAGTGATTCAATATACCGGTGCAATAGGAAATTATGCTCCTTCAAAAGATGCAAACTTACACTAATCAACTATAAACCCATTTCGACCGACGCCTTCTACCTTGATGTGGTGGTTAGGTTCATATAGCGCAATGACGCAACGAGGTATGATAATTGGAACCACTGTTGCTTCAGGTATGCTTCAAAGTGTACGCTACGGTATAGGTTTGAAGGAGAGGCTGTATTACTTTGTTGTAGGTGGTGTGATAGCAGTAAGGTACTTCTCACGGATTATCAGCATTCTATCTGATGTTGTCTACCCTTATCAGAAGGAGAGGTTACAAAAAGTCGGCGACTAAAAATATAACACTCCTCCCTTACCCATAAACTTCTGGTGCCGATGGTCAAAGTTGCCCCTGAAGTACAGAATTAGAACAGCTAGGCCCATAGTAATAACACAACAAACGTATATGTGACTTCAAGCATATCTACTTCGGGTTCTGTAATCATGTACCCAGGTTTTTATAACCCCCACTGCTAATTCACTGCTTCTTCTTAAATTCATCAAGAAGAAATAGCGTTTTGCAGTGTCGGGAGTCAAGTAGTGTCGATCACCCTCAAAACCTCTGTCAACAACGCCAAGCCATACAAGGTATCACTGAATTATTCAATACCTGAGTAGCTCAGTAATTAATCCGAATATATTTTTTAGTATTGGTATTCATCATTGACTGACATCACTTGGAGGGATATTGGAAACCTGGGAGTATTAGACAGCTGTTTCGTCCTAGTATGCAGACTCCTCAGCAATGAGTACTCATGACCCCACCCACAAGGAATCGAACTAAGGATCTTCAGGTTCCACTGTCAGCATGTTATCATTAAGCCACTGGGTTGGGATTTAATAGTTTATATTTTCAACTTCTTTTTGTTTTGTTTTACTACACATTACAAACTGAACTCACTTCCCATTAAACTCTTCATCTTCTGACTCATCATCGAGTAGAATATTAGCGTCTTTAGCCGCTTTAGTGAACCAGTTATCATTTGCTGCTGTTCGAGAATTCCTGTGCTCTTGTATATCAATTTGTTTTGCTAATTGAACAATTTGTTCACAGATAGTCAAGTTGATATTTGTCGGTTGAACGATAAAATCTTCTAGCTCTGGGTCTAGAGTATAAGAATTTTTTTTTAAAAAAAATCAAGATTAGAATACACCTTTTGAACTCTAAGAATACTGCTTGACTATCAAAACTTCAGTCAGACAGAGAGACAAAATCAACGCAGAACCTCGGTATAGAATTGCATTTCAGAGTTGTTATCAATTTTTAGCCATGTTCTCAAGGGTTTGCACCACTGATTCCTATCGTCTCATTGACACTAGCCTGTCACTCTACATTTCCCTACACGGCACCGGACCAATAGTGAGAGACTTCATGGATTGATGTCATCCTGCTGTTCAGAGGAGCTTCTTTACCATTTCTAAGACTTCATCTAACACTGCCTTCACTATGCACAGAATAATAATGAAATTCAACTCAGTACCTGGATTTAGGAACTAGGGTATGAGTCTCAGGTTTAGCAGACCCCAATAGGCGGGATAAAGTTTGAACTTGGGACCTATTGATTTATTTTGGTCTTGTATCTCTGAACTGGATGGTTTTGGTTACAATGCTTTTATTGTTATTCCATGCAACATCATCAACACAAACTTCAGAAAGAAGTGAGTTATGAGATTTTCGCCACCGGTGGCTTAGAAAGTTGTTCTGATGACCCTGGGTGTGATTGGTTGTTTCTGCTAAAATCTTGTTTCAACTGATTGTCCTATCGACGTGAACTTTGACCTTCATGCAGTTTTCTTATTGGTTGATAGATTGGGTCCATGCCAATGAGTCGGTTGATCACTAGTTGAATTGAGTGTAATGCTTTTAAAAATTCTCTATCACTCTTTGAATTTCCCCTATTCAGGATTTCAGCATTTTCCCAATAGAATTCATGTCCACAAATGTCGATATGTATTGATATGAGTGACAATAAGATGCATACAAAAAGGGCGATCACTTTGTCCAATAGTGTATTTCGTAGTTTAACTTCGAGATAACAATTAGCTTATCTTCCTTTACTCATTGCATGTTTTGACCAGCATTAAAGTGAGTGAAGAAATTTTGTAGTCATGTAGGCTACAGAGATTTCAAAAGGCTACAATAATCCAGTTGCAATTTCGGAGACGTTCTTTATGTAAAGCGAAACTCGTCTGTTGCTTTTCAAGGATGACTTTTTGGTCGATGGTGAATTGAAGAAATATGTTTCAGTGAAGTTGCGTGGATAGCCATTCTTTTGAAAACACTCATTAAGTAATTTCCTCTCCTCCGTAAGACTAATGCACTACAGTATGTCTCTGCTATTTTAAACAATTTTTTTTATGCAATTGCTTTTGTGTGATTTTGGACTATTGCTACAGTATTTGGGAGTCTTATCCCTATAGGTTGGTTTTCTCTATACTTCTATCAACCAGTCAGAAACACAAATAACAACAAGAAAGTCAAAGTTCATCTCAGCAGGACAGCCAACCGGAATACTTATGGAGACAATGATAAGATTTTAAGGAGTAACAACTCATCACACCCAGGGTCATGAAGGGGAGTCTTTTAAACCACTTGCAGAGAAAATATTGTAGCTCACTTCTTTCTGAAACTTGAAGTGATAAAGTTGTTTGGGATGACAATGAAAGCTTCAGTTCAAAGAACAAATCATCGAAATCTTCTTTCTGAGCTACAAATACTCTCCATCATCTCAATTTATAATAAATATGCACGCCTACACAATAGTCCGTAAATATGCATACGTGAACATCTTTAGTAATTATTATTTACTACAAAAGTGATATTTTCTAAGATAATTACCACTTACTAGATCTTTTGAGACTGATTGCAATTCGACGCCAATGAACAATTTCTTTTGGTGAAATGAACAACAAACTTGTCCCATGACGATTCGCTCTAGCTGTACGTCCAGATCGATGAATATACAGTTCGGCTGTATGTGGTACATCAAAATGTACAACCCATGATACACCATTGGATCCAATGACATCATTTGATGCCAAGTCTAAACCCCGGGCTGCTACATCACTAGCAAGTAGAATCCCATTTTGATCAGCTAGGAATGAGAGGAAAATTATTATTATTATTATTATCATTAGTAGTAGTAGTAGTAATAATAATAATACTGGTGAGTGAGTGTAGGGTTTATGTCCATCAAGAAAAAAAACTTTGATCCCCAGACTGATATTGACTGGATGTAGTCTGGGCCTGGCTACAGTAAATAATTGACACCTGCTGGTTGAAAATCCAGGACAACGACAAAACAAAAACTGACAACGACTTAAGAAGGATAGAAAAGATACCAAACAATCACACGGTTGGGAATAAAATGTGTGATCTGAGTCGTATATATGAAAGAGAACTATGGGTAAACGGAAAGGATCAGTTCGACGTGGTGAACGTTTACACAAAAGCGAAGTCTGATTGGTCAAACTTTTAGCCATAATTGAAGGGTAGTTAGTTTAGTATAAAACAAAACGCGAAATAATATAGGAAACGAGGAAAGATAAAAGGATAAATGAAACACCATCGGATGTGAAAAACTTGGAAAAAATGAGCTCAGCAACAACGTGCACATCTGCAAAGTGGGCAACAAGTCACATCTGGTGCTTGAATGCCTGACCGTCTAAACTTCCATAGGCGAGGTGGGGTTCGAGGCCGTGGCTTATTAGTGAGAGGTCGAGAGCCTAAACTGATGACCTACGACTCCTACACACTAGATAACACTTCAGTTAATCTAACCAATAACCCTCGGCTACCCTTCTTATATACCTCCGGTACCAAGTCATTTAGAGCTACTGCCTTTCCTTGTTTTACGTTCCTGACAGCCTTCTCCAAATTGGATTCTTTATGTGCTGGAGGATCTATCTCAGTGTTACATTCAGGGTCAAAGTAGACACCGGGCAGCCGAAGACTAGCTGCAGAGTGGGTGGGTGGGTGGGTGGGGAGGGGGGTAACTGAACTGTTCTTTGAAGTAACCCACCCATCGTTCCAGCTATCTTCCCTAAGAACGCATCTCAAACTCACCACTGCTCAAATCACGACTAATGTCCAGTAGGACTAGATTATCTGAATGCTTCCACATCAAGTGATTAGCAGTACACATTCATGTTTGGCTATTTTACTACAACTTAAAACTGCTGGTTAGTACATGCTATCTCTGTGTGTTAAAGAAAGTACCTAGATAGTTACTACTTCACTCATTAACGCCACCGATATCAGCATAATTATCTTACTCCATGCTTTAAAACGTATATGTTTACACGTAAAGACAACCAAATAAATACACCATAACCCTCTACTTAGGTATAAACCAAATTGATGACAATATTGACCCTAAAAGTGTTGAAGTACATTTCAGTAAAACTTTTCATAAGCAAAATAAAAGTATGCATAAAGTCAAATCAATTAAAAGTCACAGTAAGCAGTAGGGTAACAGACGATAGGATCGTTTAAGATTTCCCGTTGAAAACTCTCAAAATATCCAAAACAATATGATTGAAGGGGGTACAGGTTCACGCAAAAGGCTTTGAGTAGCACAGACTGACTGACGAAGCATGATACTGCTTGGATGTTCAGACACAAGTTCAATGGTTTATCATCATCAGTGTCAACATAGGACCAGGCATTACTGTGTAACGGTCCTTGTTAACACACCTCATATCACTACATCAAGTAAAAAAAAAGCAGTGAGGCGCAAGGTGAAGAAGGAGAGAAAATTCAGTCGAAAAATGTATAAAGTACTCAAAGAGAGAAAGGAAGAATGAGAAAATGGTGAAATTCCGTATAGCGTCGTTAACATGAGGATAATATGTGAGGATACATCTGCACCACAAACATCGCTTCTCAGCCATGTCATCACCTAAAATCACTCTGTAATCACTACTGGTTTCTCTTGTCCTACGGACCCCAACAGCCTAGTCTCCATCACCCCACATGCTTCAAACCAATACTCAAACACTTCATACATTCATGTCATGTTTTAGTCTGGCCACCTTCAGCCTCTTTCCACAATGCACTTACTTCGGCCAACATTGTGTGACAAGGTAGACGGCGGCGACTAGGCATACTCAACACATACATGTCGGAGCCAACCATCTCAGTCGATGAAGGTTCACAATCACATCAACTGATTTACCTCTCCTCCCTCCCTAAAACTCTACACCTGAGCCTGACTTCTGCATTGCTCACGTGGTGACACCACACAATATGCTCTGTACTACGAAGGCAACGGTGGTCAAACACCTGACCAGCCAGTCTTCTCATATCTCCCACCTTCAATGACCATGTTTCACAGTCATCGAGTGGAACAGAGCGAATCGCTGTGCAGTACACGCGACGCTTTGTAGACAATCAGATATCATGGTGGCGTCACAGGTGGTGTGTGTTGGCAAAAACCAACCGACCACTTTGTATTCGTGCAGAGATTTCATCGGCCACTGACCAGTGGCCAACGCACCACGGCTGATCCTACTCACTTCCCAGGTAAGTCAAGTAATCGACACACTCAATCACTACACTCTCAATTGTTAGCAGTGGTGAGGCACTGTTGGAGACCAATCTCGGAGTAACAATTTGTATTTGGGTGGTGAGAAACGCATCCCAGACATTCTCAAACTATCACTCAAAATGTTCAGAAGACTCTGCATCTTGTCAGCGTCTTAACTAAACAGGACTATGTCATCTGGATATTTTACGTCTAACAAAATGTTCTCCTGTGATTAGGTCAACCTCTGTGTAGTCAGGTGACAAGAGGGAGACCTCCATGAGAGTATCTACGATAAAATTGAATAAAAATGGAGAGAGTTGGCACGCTTGAAGACTGCTTTATCATTAGTTCATTATCACCCATATTTTGTCATTCAGCTGTTTTTCTGCTTTTTATAGCATAGATTTCTTCTTCCTTTCATGTTTTCCCATCTGTTCATTTCCTTTGATGTGTCTGTGGTGTGCAGTGTAATTTCAATTATCCTGCATTTCAATGTTGTTAATGTTTGTTTGTCTATTGAAAAAAAATAAGCAAACATAAGAGTAAAACATGGATGGAATGTGATTCCATTTTTATTGATTCATTAGATTTATCATACAGTGAAGAAACAGTATTGTTTACTGGATTACGTTTTGGATGAAATTTATTGTCCATAGTCATATCAAAGTAACTACACACCTTTGAGACATCCTTTATATAGTCCTTATTTCCTCGTCTCTTTGTGAGATGGGTAGTAAGATTTTCCATATATATGAAAGGGGGATGAGTCATTCCTCTTGCTGCATGTATTAGGTGTTGGTTAATTCGATACACAAAGATTCAGTTATCAATCTCTCCCTCCATCCTGTTACGTTAGTTTTAAGGATTTTCACCCTGTCCCATCCTATTGTGTGCTGGTGTGTGTAATCGCATTTATAGCTATAGCTGACCTGTTTTCTAAGTTCTATACCTTACTGGGATATACCAATTTTAGACCTAGGTAGGTTTTTGTGTTAGGATAGCCTAAATGACTGATCCTGTTCGACTACTTTGACCTATGTATTCGACTTTGCAATCGTTGTAAGGGATTTGGTAAACTAAATTATTCTGTTTAATTGGATCAATAGGATATTTTAGCCTACAAAGCTGATTTCTAAGTGAGTTTGAAGGTTTAAATGCCACTCTCATCCCAGACAACCTTATTGAGAATTCTATATAGTGTTTCTGAGGTGCCTTCTTTGTATGGTAATACTGCGGAGGTCTTGAATTCTCTATTCACAGTATTGCAGCTACTATTATTAACACTATTATCACTATTATTGTTGCTAATCTTACCACCATTGTTACTACTATTAATAACTGTGTTACTAATATTTTTATTACGATTCCTAAGTAACTTATCAATTAATTTGTGAGGGTAATTCTTGATGAGTGAGGTGTCTTCAATGTACCTGGTTTCTTCATTTAGATCTGTTTTACCAGTAAGTTTTTTGGCTTTGTTACTTAGACCCTTTACTAAGCCAACTTTAACTGACATAAGGTGAGACGATTCGAAGTCTAACTAACGATTTCAGTGTGGAGGTTTCCTATAGACACTAATGTCTAAACTTCCATCTTGTTTCCGTTTTAATCTTCAATCCAACATTATTAACTCCCCTTCAATATTTTCTAACTCATAGGTGAACTGGATTGCATCGACTACTGAATTAATATGTGTGAAGAAATTATGAATGTGCTCTGATTTCAATATTAGAAACGTGTCATTTACATATCGACACCATACTTCTGGAGTAGGACTCAATGTTTCGATACCCATCCTTTTCCAACTATCTATAAATATATCTGACACATAATCCAGTAAACAAAACTCTTCTATTATGTGATACATCTAAGAAATCAGTTAAAATAGAATTATATCCTACTACAGCGCCCAAGTTCTACTCACATGGTTATTTTCCATAGTTGAACAGGAGAAGAGTAACTGACAGAGAACTACATAGATAACTAATCCAGTAAACAGTACTGTTACACTGTGTGATAAATCTAATAAATCAATAAAAAAATGGTATAAGCAAACATATTCTGGGAGTAGCTTCACGTGTTTTCAGGGTTACTTAAGACTGATGAAATAAAGACTTCGGAGTGTTCAACGGGTATTTCAAACCTACAAAACCCAACCAATCAGGCGACAGCTTGCAGCCACTTTTCAACTCGCTATACCTTCTAAAGGAAAAGTACTAACCATTTCAGAGAATCGATTTGTTCAAACTGAGACGAATGTATATTCGTCTGATCTCGTTTTAAGCTAGGAAATTGTGAACCACTGGAAATCGACCCAGTGGCTGAGTGGTTAACGCGTTCACCGTGAAACCTGAAGGTTCTGAGTTCGATCCCTAGCCGGATCGTGGGTGCGTACTCCTGAGGAGTCCAATACTAGGACGAAACAGCTGTGCAGTGCTCCTAAATTTTCAATGGTTCCCCAACTGATGTCAGTCCATGATGAATACCATTTCTAAAGAAAAAATCTTAAACACAAAGTATAATGCAAATCAATTACCTTGGAATCGTTCAAGAGCACGTAATCTTTGCTTTTGAACCATATCAGCGTGTAAGACATTAATATGTTGCAGTGGTGGATATCCAGATACACAAAAAGCATTAGAGTTTAGCAATTGACGCAACACACCAGCTAATCGACGTACACCAGATTTACTGTTTAAAAAAATTAGACATCGTTGATTAGAAAGTTTGGCAGGAGTGTATCCCTCTTCTGATGAAGATAAAGCAAGATGACGACCAAAGGTGATAAACCAAAATAATCGAATATCTTTACTTGGTTGACTTGGGCATAAAAGACGAAATTCAGAAAGACTATCAGGACAAACTGGTTGACAATCTGAAGATAGATTTGAATTGGTTTGATCAACAGGATGACTTGATGATAAGTCAATTACTTTGACTGATTTTCTAAGACCAAACATTTCACGTAACATAGCTGGCAGTAAAAGAAGAAAAAGAGGATATTGAATTTTTAACACGTTGAGCAACTGGTAATCTAATAAAACATAATATAGCTCAATCCATCACATGTTGATGTATTAGGCTTTGAGAGTAGTGTACGTCAAGCGTGCCAACTCTCTCCATTTTTATTCAATTTTATCGTAGATACTCTCATGGAGGTCTCCCTCTTGTCACCTGACTACATAGAGGTTGACCTAATCACAGGAGAACATTTTGTTAGACGTAAAATATCCAGATGACATAGTCCTGTTTAGTTAAGACGCTGACAAGATGCAGAGTCTTCTGAAGATTTTGAGTGACAGTTTGAGAATGTTTGGGATGCGTTTCTCACCACCCAAATACAAATTGTTACTCCGAGATTGGTCTCCAACAGTGCCTCACCACGGCTAACAATTGAGAGTGTAGTGATTGAGTGTGTCGATTACTTCACTTACCTGGGAAGTGAGTAGGATCAGCCGTGGTGCGTTGGCCACTGGTCAGTGGCCGATGAAATCTCTGCACGAATACAAAGTGGTCGGTTAGCTTTTGCCAACACACACCACCTGTGACGCCACCATGATATCCGATTGTCTACAAAGCGTCGCGTGTACTGCACAGCGATTCGCTCTGTTCCACTGGATGGCTGTGAAACATGGCCATTGAAGGTGGAAGATATGAGAAGGCTGGCTGGTCAGGTGTTTGACCACCGTTGCCTTCGTAGTACAGAGCATATTGTGTGGTGTCACCACGTGAGTAATGCAGAAGTCAGGCTCAGGTGTAGAGTTTTAGGGAGGGAGAAGAGGTAAATCAGTTGATGTGATTGTGAACCTTCATCGACTGAGATGGTTGGCTCCGACATGTATGTGTTGAGTATGCCTAGTCGCCGCCGTCTACCTTGTCACACAATGTTGGCCGAAGTAAGTGCATTGTGGAAAGAGGCTGAAGGTGGCCAGACTAAAACATGACATGAATGTATGAAGTGTTTGAGTATTGGTTTGAAGCATGTGGGGTGATGGAGACTAGGTTGTTGGGGTCCGTAGGACAAGAGAAACCAGTAGTGATTGCAGAGTGATTTTAGGTGATGACATGGCTGAGAAGCGATGTTTGTGGTGCAGATGTATCCTCACATATTATCCTCGTGTTAACGACGCTATACCGAATTTCACCATTTTCTCATTCTTCCTTTCTCTCTTTGAGTACTTTGTACATTTTTCGACTGAAGTTTCTCTCCTTCTTCACCTTGCGCCTCACTGCCTTCTTTTTACTTGATGTAGTGATATGAGGTGTGTTAACAAGGACCGTTACACAGTAATGCCTGGTCCTATGTTGACCTGATGGATGCATGATGATTAGGCTTTGAGCTACACTTATTCTGTAAGGATTTTTGATACCACCCGACTGTCGAGACCGAAGGAGATGAAACAGATTAGTTTGAAGACTACTTTCTTCTAAATACATCAGAGTAAAGAGTTAGTGTATGATCAACTTTAATCTAAAGAGTTATGAGTTACAGTTGAAAGAAAACTTAAATCATATCAGGAATAAAACCAATCACCTAAGGGTTATCAGTTCAGTGGGTACAACACCAAGTTGGTTACCGAGAGGCCAGTTGTTAATTAGAATCCTACCAAGACTTGTTTTTATTGACATATGAGATGAAAACTATCACCAAGTTTTTACAAGGATACATGACTTCCAGTAGATAGCCTTTGCTGACATTATATACTGACTCCATACAACATCCAAAACCAACTACTGCCATGAACGTTTAGTTAACGCTGGAATTTAAACAACATAATTCATGGAGGAATTCATCTCAGGTTATTGATTCATATACTTAGTTGGTCTGCAACCAATATCTCCAGTGATCCCTTAGCTTTTCGCATGTAATCAGCCTTCATCATACGAAATATAGTATCCTTCAGACCTGAATATTACGACAGGATCTCAAGGAGCATATATTTCAGGTTTATCTCGATTAGAAAAGAAAATCAGATAAGCCTAATATCAATCTTTATTGATTAGTAATCATATTGATGATGAACACATATCAGAGAATATCAATGATAACAATAACCTACCAAGTTTTATTTTTGGTGTCATAGTACTTTTATTTCGTGATAGAAGTTTATGATTTTTGAATCCAGTGCCTGGTTTCATTGCATTAGTATGAACAAAGGTAAGAGTGGCAGAAAAAACTAATGTCTGACGTTGTACGTTAATTATACAAGAATTGTTTGTATTTTGCACTGTTTTACGTTTTCGTTTAACATTGATAATCTTTTTAGAATTATCCAGTGTAACTGTTGTATCCTCTTTATTAGCTATATGATTATTTACTGATGATTTTGTGTGTAACCAGTCAAAAATTGCACGTAAATCATTAAAGTGATTAGCTTCAATCATTCGATCAGCTTCATCGATTACAATTATATTAACGTTGTGTAAGGTAAGCACATGAGGTTCTTCCTTGAAAAAAATTAGAAGAGAAAAATAAACTTTTTGATTACTAGTTGTTTGTAATGGTATGAATGAACTTGAACAGTAAATCAGTCATAAGGAATTAAAAGCAAGGACAAAGACAAAAGATATTCAAGGTAATGTAAGGTTTGAATGTACTTTTGCCGCTAAGATCTACTTCAGGGTATATAGGCGCAAGCTTTCAATTGTCTATAAGCTAACCAAATATAGATATGATGAATGTGAACGAGGAAGCCTACTCCCTCTTAACATGGTTCAGACCAATAGTTAGAGATGTTTTGCACAATCTGAGATATCTCCCGAATTCTAGTTATCATTACACGCTGGAGCAGGCAGTAACTAGGCATGTATAGCATATATCAAACACTGAAGTCAATACATATATAATAATGCAACCTGGTGACAACATATAAGGTATGTTATAAATTATACCTACTGTGTGAAGAATAACAATACTGCCTAATTGTTCAAACATTCATACATGAAACAAGATTGGACAGAGAGTGGCTAATTTATAGCTTGATTGTTCTTTCTGATATTTGTTAACAGACAAACTCTATCGTCTCCAGTAATAGCACATTAATAAGTAATGATGGGATATCAAGTGACATCATATATGTTTTCCGTTTACATTCACACTATGTTGCTTAGAAATAAATTCGAAGACATCTTTTATACTATGGTTAACTAATTCTCTGTGTAAGGGATCTAAAATCTTTACTAACCATTTAGCGTGGTATGGGGAGTTGGACATGTCTAAAACTGGACGAAGAAGCAGTCCAGGCTTGTGTACTTTAGGCAGACCATACAACCGTGGTGTGTTACTCCCTGTAGGTCTAAGTGGGTCTAAGTCAGTATACACATCTTCTAAGTCAAAGCAAACCTGAATAAATGACTCACTAACAGAGAGTGAAAAATACGTTCGAATGATCTGGTACAGAAGGAGTTAGATTATATCCGTAATTCATTGGTTGAAATGGGCTACCCTAACAGTTTCATAAAAATACACATGGACAAAGCCAGGGGAACAAACCTGGTATTATTACCATACAAAAGAAACCGTTGTTTATGAAATTGCAATCTAATAGGATGTAACCGGAGAGGTTTTATATCAGTGACTCTCTAGAATTATTTAAAGGACCTTCTACGCTGCACAACTTTGTGTATCATTTTTCAGTCGACCAATTATTGCTGCTCAGACAAAAGATAAGTTATTAGTTTTGCCATTTCTATGTGTATTTACGAGTTTAGCTGGTCTTGTGGAGAAAGCTATACACGGCGTACTACTACACAATTTAAGAAACGTGTTGCTGAGCATCTACCTATATGGTTGGGAAAGGGACAGATAAAATCCATCAGAAGCTCAGTTTTATCTCATTGCTTTCACGATTATACAACGCATACCATCTCATCATTCAGACTTGTCTTTTACATATAGGGGAAGCTGTGGGAATTTGAGCTAAGAATCCTAGCCTTTGTATCCAGAAGAAATCTGTACATCCCTTATCTTTCCCTTGGCCAGGGAATACTTAGTTAATAGCTTTATAGCTCGTGAGCTAACAGAAGTTGGAAATATTGTGCACTCGATTCTGACCCAGTGGCTAGCTCAATGGTAACGCGCTGGCCGCGGGACCTGAAGTTCGCGGGTTTGGTCCCTGGCGGGGTCGTGGGTGCGCACTGCTGAGGAGTCCCATACTAGGACGAAACAGCTGCCCAGTGCTCCCAGGTTTCCTTTGTTCCTCCAACTGATATCAGTCTTCGATGAATAACAACTTGTAATAACTTTATCATTCAGTTTTTTATCCTACCCCTTTTTTTATTCTCCACCCGTTTCGTATACTTACTGTATTTGTCTAGGCTTTGTTTATACGCTTACCTCACCTCTTCACTATTACGTAACTTTTATTTTCACAAGCTTTTGACCCATTTTGGTTATGAGAGTGTCTATATTTTCATGGTGTTTTCCTAGGTCTTATCATCATCTATAGTGCATGTGCTTTAGTCAACATTATCACTTTATCATTATCATTATTATTACTATTTGTATCATTATCTCCATCGTTATCTTAAACATTTATCACACTAACCGACAAATCTACATGATTGGTTTATATATATATATATATATATATATATATATATATATATATATATATATATATATATATATATATATATCACGTTGTTATTCATCGTAGACTGACATCAGTTGAAGGAAGAATGAAAACCTGGGAGCATTTGACGGCTGTTTCACCCTGGTATGTGACTCCTCAGCAGTATGCACCCACAACCTTGAGGTTCCGTGGCCAGCACGTTACCATTAAGCTAGCCACTGGGTCAGAGAATTCAATCGTCCATATTTCCAACTTCTGTTAGCTCACGACATAGCGCAACCGCCGCCCAATGTCATCGTTGAGTAACTGTCCTCATGACCATCAGGCTTTTCCCCCACCGGTCACGACTTCGCATTGGAACTTCAGGAATACCTCTGTCCAGTGCTCCCAGGTTTCCTTTGTTCTCTCAACTGAAGTCAGCCTACAATGAATACCAACATGAAACCTTTTATATATGACTATTTATTTGTTTAGATTTTGATTATCTACACACTTCATCCATTGGTATTACGTAACTTTTATTTTTCCGAGTTTTGATCATGCTGTTCCCATTATTCTTATCATCACTGAGATAATTATTAATGTTGTTGTTATTATTGTCTAGATATCTACTATTTGCTTGCTTCATTTCGCAGCGATCACGGAATAAATAACCCATCATGATTGGTTTAACGTTTTATAGATAAGAAAATTTATGCATATTAGCGTAAAGCCTCATGAGAGAGCTAATTGGAAAACTGAAAGGAGATTGAGAATCACTGAGTTGAGATTTGTTTGAAACTATAAAGTAATTTTAAGCCTTAAGGATCCCTAAAATTTTATAAGACATCCATTATTCTAAAGAATTTTTCGTCTATTCACAGGCATACAATAGCAATAAGACAATACAACAAAGTTGAAACAACAGTGTTACTAAATTTTAAGAAACGTTATTGATTTAAGAGAAAGCGCACTTACAAGACTTGAGTAGTTCGACACTGTCTCAACTGTTCAAAGTTACTTTCTTATCAAATATATCACAGGCTTGATTTCTTCGCTTAAGACTGACTTCATTAGTATTTCATCTGAACTAAATCAACTAACATGAATACAACGTTCGGACTCTGAAGTGAAAAGAGACAATTACATAATGCCTAAAGCATTTCAATTCATGCTGGTCACTGTTATGGTTTCGAAGCGCTAATGATATTTGTATGTGTTCCAGAACGAATATAATATGCACGTGCTTAGCTGACAGCTAACTTGATACGCAAGAGACAGACTGCAACTCCGGGACGAATAGAGAGAAGACCGAAGCTGGCAGATAGGAGAGTGTATTACTCTGAGAATATAATATAATAACAATGAATCAATCCAAAACACGTGGAAAATGACCTTGTCCGCAATTGGAGAAATTCGCATAGTAAAAGTTAACCAATCAGCGAATTACATTACAATGGAGGCAGAAAATAGACTATTAGTCATACCGTGAAAATAATGTGGGAATGACACTTAAAAATGTTCAGATCAATAACAATGTTTTATACAAGACTGGGGCATCACAACAGTCACTCAGTTATAGGTAGATTAAAATGACAGTCGTCTGTCCACATCACCCATTAGTTTGTTCTTTATTTATTCTGATAATTGTTACACAAGAATTGAGTGGTATTCAACGTCAATCTTCAAGATACGTAGAAGCTAGACACTTAGAAACAAACTGATTTATGAGAAATTTAGAGATGAACTTTTAAATAAAGGTGTGTGGATGATTTACGCATTGTTCAATTGTGCTGGTTCAAAAGATTACGAAACACTATAGTTGGTACACTATACATTTTTACAGATGAACCAGTTAGAAAGAATTAAAGATAATAAAAGTGAACTAACCTGTTGAATAAAATACCATAATCTTCCAGGAGTAGCAACGAGGATATCTGGACATCGTTGAAGAAGTCGAAGTTGTTTATCAACTGATATTCCACCAACGATAGTTTCAATACGAATACAGTTGATATGCTTGGTTAATGCACGAAGATGTTGAGTAACCTAAAGAAAATGAATCCATGAAAGATAAGCATTATGTATCATCAATAAGAACAGAGTTAAAACTGCAACTATGCAGTTATGTTTATAAGTTGGTTTTGAACTTTTTATTACCAGGCTAAGTGACCTCACTAACATTTACTTCTTTGTGACTATTATTATCCACAATAAGACACCGTCATACTGCTATGAAACTCACAATTCAGAGAGAGAGAGAGAGAGAGAGAGAGAGAGGATAGAATGGATTTGTAGTATATTGACCAACTTCAATCCATATTACAGAATAGTTGAAAACGACTCCTTTTTAACATCATCTAGATAGCCTACACTTTTCTATATGATTCAGACTAGTAGTTTCTAACTTGGTAATCCCATTTTAAACAACATACACTACAAATCACTTCAAAACCCTAGTTTGAACAAACAGATAAAATTCGACATAAAAGTGCACCGGTCTAAGCTTCCATACTTTACAATACGATGAAAAGAAGAAGAATGTTAGAGTAGACAAAAGTGAAAGTGAGAAGGGGGGAATAAATTAAGGCTTACAAAAACGCTCAAGATTTGAAAGATTACTACAAATGGATACATTTGCACCATTGATCAGAATGAGTATAAGTACTATATGTTGAAAGAGTGGCAGAAATCATAGGCAATTACCAGCAATGGGTAAAGATTCTGTTCAGAGAAGCGCAAGAAACAATATGGGCGTATTACGAGCAAATCGAGATAGAAGCAGAAGAAGAAATGAAGCACATTATGCAGATGACTGTCTGTTGATATTCATTCGAAATGCAACCACCTCCTGTCGAAGGTTATGGACTTGTTTCCTTCAGTTAGTTATCTCTGGTGACTCCATAGCAGCTACTGATGTATCCATTAGCTTTCTGGTCACCTTCGCCAGCTCACTAATATCCATGGGTTGGGCTGTGTTCAATAGTCTTAGGTGTTGGGAGATGGCATTCAGGACAATTCCGATGAACTGTGCAGCCAGCAACTGTACCTGAGAGTCCTCGTCCATAGTGCGAAGTGCTCGCTGAAGACGTTTTATCAACTTCACAGCCAATACCAGCAGGTCTTCGTCTATTCCAAGTCTCATGCTCCGGAACTGCTGCATCGCCAGCATCTTTTCTACTAGATTGTCAAACTCTGCCTCCGGGCGTTCAACCATACTGTGCCAAGTCCCCTTTCTATCCACACATTTCACGTCATCATATGCCACTCTTTCACTCTAACCCTCAGGAACGTGCCAACCACCACGACCTTTGCTCCTGGATCCCAGACACTCACTAGCTCCACGACGACTCGAAGTCCCTGAGGAAGACCTTGATGTCTCCACCTTCAAACACTGCAGGCCACGGAATCTTTATCACGTCCAGAAGCAGCAACACCAATTGTAGGAAACGAGAAGACTGAGATAAAGGAAGGAATGCTTATTATTGACATCTTATACAGTAGTCATCAAATATGGTACACCTTCCACTAAGACAGTCATTTGCATAATGTGCTTCATTTCTTCTTCTGCTTCTATCTCGATTTGATCTTAATACGCCCACATTGTCTCTTGCGTTTCTCTGGATAGAATCTTTACCCATTGCTGGTAATTGCCTATGATTTCCGTCGCCTTCTCAATATATACTACTTATATCCATTCTGATCAACAGCGCGGAATACAATATCATTTAGAATCTATAATCATTAATTCTTTACTTCTTGGGAACCACAGCCAGACAAACTTCATTTCGTGATAAACTCAGATAAGAAAAAAAGTCAGAGATTTCATCGATTGGTGAGACACCCAGATCTGGAAACCATTAGGCTTTTCTTTCAACTTAACATTACTTCGGTTAAAATCACACATCAAGGTAGGCGGTGGTTTGGACTGTATACCGAGCCACCACAATCGGTGCACATATACAACTTCATCGACTGACTTGTCTATCACTTGTATCACTCTAGTTCAACCCCAACAGTACTTACACGGTGGATCTACAACACACTCGGATATATATCTACAATACAAGTCAACACATGCAGTTACCAGAAACTTGTTTAACATAGCTAACCATCTTGCTTCAAAGTAAGAGGATTGAAATGAGAAGGCAAGGACTGTTTCAAAAGGTAGTGACAGATGTAAGAAAAAGTGAACCAAGGACTCTCCGTAGAAGTGGACTAACAGTGTAGTGACCGTATACTGCAAACAGATCTCAGACAAATTAAAAAATTATAAACGATTTTGATATATACAAACAATTAATACTCTACGCTCAGTTGTGATGAAATTTAGTATATGATATGGTGTGCTGCTATCAAAAGCTGCCTGCGCTCGATACTGAAGCTCAGATGGCCAGAGTAATAAGAATAAGCAACAAGGCAACGAACCAACCAAGAACCTATCACTCAACAAATATGCAGAAGAAAGTGAAGATGGATTGGGCATACACTGGGGAAGGCCGACTGGGGATATCACGCACCAGGCCACGCCCTCGAGTGGAACCCAGATGGGAAACGACGAGTCGGGCGTCCGAGGCGAGGGTGACATAGAGGAGATGGTGTGACGAAGAAATGGGAGCTTGTGGCATTTGTGGAGCCAGGTTCAAAGATTGAAGAGAAGAGAGTGCAATCGAGTCGTGCTACTGAAGCTTTATGTTCCACTAAGAACCCAAGGGAAAAATAATGATAATAATAATGGTGTGCTGCTGATACTGATGAGCGTTTTTTAAGTAGTACTCAGTGCGATTTCACTTGAGAAGTAGCAACAATTGACTAGTAAAGGGGTTCTAGAGAAACACACAAGATATATTGGAAGAGAATATGGAAGACAAATGTGAAGAAGCCATAGAAAATGAAAGGCAATTAATGTCGAAGGTGAAAAACGAACATTACTTGCATGGACTGCATTGGATGCAAGGCTGTGATTTTTTTATAGATACTTCTTGTAACTTTTCAAATAAACAAATTCCATATCTTTTCATCAGTCTCGCTTTTCACATGGACATTGAGAAAAGACCCAGCAAAGTTATATACAAAATAAAATGAACTATGTGATACAGTAGTAGTATATGTGAATAAGTAAATGTAAAGAGGAGGAAGGAACATTGACAAACAAACCTTTTAAGCCTATGCAAAACTATGGGAAACATTTTAGGAGCAGCATAAAATTTGACAAAAACAAGACATAAAATTGGCTTTAATGAAACTAAATCTATACAAAAAGCTTTGTATCATGCATATGGGTGAATATGAATAACGTGAACAGATGAAATAAACTGCAGTTAGCTGGTATACTTGATAAACAGAACGTGGAATGTCATCGTTATCCCTATCACCTATAACAACTCACTTTGAAATTGATTTGAAGTGCGATTTTAGCAAGGCGACAGTGACTTTGTCCTTATATGTTCATAAAACGAGGAGGGGAACAAAATACCCAAGCTAATTTCTGCATACACCTATCCACATTGAATGGTTATAATTAAGAATCAGTCACATACAAGGAAAGAGTACACTGCTGCTAATTACATTCACCTCTTAATAGGTATGTAGAAATCTGACCTGCGTAACATGTGAGATAAGTTTCAAGCGTTAAACACGCACTTTGTGAATGCGTCATGATTACGCCGACTACCGAGATAGAAACAAGTCCATAAGTAAATCAAACAGTCAATATGCCTACTAGCTTCACTCTTCAAGCATGAGTGAACAGATCACCAACTGATAATACCAGTTATAAGGCATTACTCTAATACTGGATTTATTTAATTGATAGAGTACTATTTACCAGATTATTTACATAAAGATAAATTAATTATCTATAGAGATAATCATACATTATTTTTTAGTAGAATTGAAAACTCATCAAGGATTTTCAAGACCAAAACATTATACAATAATCTCAGCCTATAGCGGAACCATGTAATGTCTGTCCTTTATTCTGATAAACGTTATCATTGTGTGCTATATTAAATAAATCAATCTAATATGGAATTAAATTCTACCGCAGTGCTCAATTTTTACACTCCACACTATCTGCCTCTAAAACACAAAAGTATGCTGAAAAAATGATTACAAAACACTTTTTAAACAGTCAGCATGAAATATGACACATTCATACAGGTAATTAGGATCCAAATAACAATAAACCAACTCATGTTTTATGTACCAGGCTATGAAAATGTGATTCGCTAGCTTAAACACTCCATTTTTTAAACAGGCTGTGAACTCAATGCTTACTCCACATATACCAAGCTTTGAGCAACCCTAACATAACACAAGTGACTAATAGCCTAGTTCATTAACCTTAACATAGCTCTTGCATTGCATTATTATTATTGCTAAGAATTACGCTAACTATGTAAGTGTTCATGATACTACTCGGTTGACTGCTAACAAGACGGATATAAACACTTATCGGACAATAGATAAACACCGAACACAACAACCTATAGCTTCACTTCAATATTTCGTATCCAAAAGGTAGTGATATTTTCAAGAAGAGATTTCGATTGATCACACCAACCACTAAGTCACGGGATACAAATTTAAAATCCAACGTAGAACTATTCAAAATAATGTCAAAGTAAAATTTGTGCAATTGAGAATATTCAACATCACTAACTTGAATAGCTAGTTCTCGAGTAGGAACCAGAACAAGCCCATAAATGCGATTGCCTTTCATTTGTGATAAAAAAGAGATAGGATGTTTGATGGGTGGAATTGTCTCACGACATATTGTAGAAATGTTGTCAAGGGAATACATTGTACGGACTTCACCAGTGTCTGCATCAATTCCTCGATAACATCTAAATCTGAATAAATTTTGGTCTTCTTTTTCTTTCTCTTTTTTGTAGAAGGTTCAGTACAAGAATTTTGCTCAAGATCATCTTGGTTTTGTTTATTATAGGTCAAATCAGTCACATCTTCATTTGTTACTTCTTCGTCACAAGTCTGATTCTAAAAATAAAACCAGTAAGAGCAGTAGGATCAAATAAGTGAGTTTAGTCAAATGAGTGGATTGTCATTCTCTCAACTAGAGTTCTATGCTCAATAAAAGTAAAAAGTGCCTTAACTACAATGTATTGGCTCATGAAGTGTAATCAGATGTTATTCCCAAAATAGAAATGGCATTAAGTTCAATAGATAAGACAATTGTAGATGAGGCAAGGGCACAGTGGTATAGAGTGGCAGTCAACCCTCTACCTTCGACAGTGTCGACTGAGAAGTAATTTGACAGGCAACTGCTTCAACACTACGGCTTTAGTGCAACAAACCACCAACCTCATTCAACAACTGTATGAAGACGCCACATGCCAAGTAATTCACAACGGAAAGCTGAGTGACGCCTTGAAGTGAAGACAGGAGTAAGACAAGGCTGCCACTTACTATCACCCATGATATTCCTGATTGTGGTCGACTCGACTGGATCATGCAACAAACAGTGAAGAGCGAGAACAGGGGGATACGCTGGCTGGATTGTGGAAAAGAACCTAGAAGACTTGGATTTCGCCGATGACTTGTGTCTGATGTCGCACAAAGTTGAAGATCTACAGGCAAAAACTAACAAGTTGACAGAAGAGGCAGAGCAGCGAAGACAGGACTTCAAGTGAATATAGAGAAGACAGAGGTAGAGGTGATGAAGATACCCAACCAACGCCACTACCGACAACAGCGAACTCCAATCACCATCAACGGGAGAAACTCAAAGGAAGTAGCCTCCTTCACCTACCACCTAGGCAGGCAGCATCGCTTCAACTACAGGAGGCACAGGCACAAACGAGGACGTCAAAGCCAGGATCGGAAAAGACAGGGGTTCATTAACCTGAAACTTGTGTGGAGATCTACTGCACTCAGCATAAAGAACAACTTCTGGATTTTCAACACCAATTCAGTCAAGTCAGTCAGTGATTCTATGTGATGGTTCAGAGACTTGGAGCGTTACGAAAAGTATTTCCGACAAACTACAGATATTCATCAACAATTGACTACGCTGGCTAGTTACTGAAGCTCAGATGGCCAGAATAATAAGATTAAGTAATAAGGAACTCTGGCTGTCTGCCAACGAATCGACCAAGAACCTATCACTCAACACATATGCAGAGGAAGAAAGTAGAAGTGGAGATGGATTGGGCACACACTGAGAAGACCATTCAGAGACATAACACATCAGGCCAGGCACTCGAGTGGAACTTAGATGGGAAACGATGAGTTGGGCGTCCGAGGTGAGGGTGAAACGGAGGAGATGGTGTGCAGAAGAAATGAGAGCTTCTGGGCAGTCATGGAGCCAGGTTCGAAAGACTGCAGAGAACAGAGTGGAATGGAGACGTGCTACTGAAGCCCTATGTTCCACTAGGAACCCAAGAGATAAATAATATATTATTATAATAATAAGAGCACAGTGTGCACTGACATTGAAACGACAGAAGAAAATGAACCTTATTTACTCAAGCTAGAAACAGAAACTCTCAAAAACCTTCAAAATGATAACAATATAGTAATTGCCAAATCGGATAAAAGCAACTCAACAGTTGTAATGAATATATCTGGCTACATCTGCAAGATGAATGAACATATAGAAACAGGACCACATGAAGAAATTAAGAAATTCAAAGGGGATCAGATACGCCGAATCAAACCGTTTCCTAGATGAGTCATAATTGTTTAATTTAATGCCGAAAACTAACATTCCCAGTAGAATGTATGGTACTATTAAGATTCATAAGCTAGGTTATCTCATCAGGCCTATAGTGGATTTTAGAAATACTCCGACTTGCAAGTTGTCAAAATATTTAGCAATGGTACCAGGTCCAGTTAGAAATCATTCAAAACCTCGACGCACTAACTCTTATGACTTACGAATAGATTAAGATCATACTGCCTTTGTTGTCAAAACATCTCGCTTTCTTAGAACATATATTTTAAAAGTGGTTTCATTGTATTGTTGTCATTCATAACCATCTCCAAGATCTAAAGCGCTCGATAGCTAACTTATCGTAATTTTGAACTGTCTAATTAAAGGTATGTGCTACTGAATTTCAAGGACCGAGCCCAGATACCTCAGGCTTCAAACGATAATGCCAAAGATTCCCCTTTGTCTATTTTCCAGTTTAATCACAACTCATCGAATAACGCTGTGCAAAATATCGTCTAATATAACCAGTGCAACTGGCAGATCACAGTATTCCGCAAGATCAATAATCCGTTATTCCAAAGTAGAGTATCGATGAAGTTGGTGAATAGTGGTCTTACCAACAGTGTTGAGAACAATTAACAAGCTGGCTAGGAAATGAGAGATAGTATTTATCAGCAGTTGTCTACAACTGATTATAATACAGATTCACTGGCTCTTCATCTTGACATGAATTCCAAACAACGTTGTACTCTTATAGGCAGAAAAGGGTTTTCCGAAAGTTTTTTCTTGAGTTGTAGATTTTTGTTTATTATCCCTTAGGTTTTATTTCATTTTCTCATTTACAAATTTTGTGCTGTTACAACAAAGTGTGGTAACTTCAGCCAGTGCACTGTAGTGCTATGTTTTGCGATGTTTAGTTTGTTTAGGAACCTAACAGCAGCCAATAGTATGAACTGAGTACTCACTTCAGACCAACACTGGAGATTTCAATTCAATTACAATAGTTCTTGAAGATAGTAAGTGAAGAGGCACAATGTGTTGATTAATTCACTTACTTTGAGAGTGCATTAGTTCGATCAGATTAGATGTTGACGAAATAACATACCTACAAAAGGCCTATTCGACATTTCCCAGCTACCTATTAAAGGACGAGTATACTGTACTGCAGTTTGCTCTATCCTATTATACGATTGTATGATGATAGTTGAAAGCAGATATATGAAGAGGTTACAGGTTTTTAGTCACAGATGCCTTCATAGGATTGGTCGCGTATAGTGAGATAATCATACGAGCAATGTCAGTTAGGCGAAGGGTAATCGAAAAGGCAAGCAAGTCAATCAATGAAATTGTGGACATGCGACTGAGGTGTCTTGGACATGTGTTGCACATGTTGGGGTACCACCTACCTCAAAGTACGATGTTAGCCAAAGTAGTATTTAGTTGAAAAAGAGCTAAGGGCGGTGAAAATGTTGTACGAGTCGACAGAGTCTTTACTGTTGGTCCTAGAGATCTTCAGACTAATTGCATGGAGTTCTCACTAAAAAAGCAAACAATGGTCGGATCCTCTTTGTGCAGATGTTTACACCCTGTTCTCTTTAAAGCCTCGAATATGCTGTGGAGTGTAACAAATTGTACCGATGTACTTTTGTGTAAGGTTCTACGCCGATTTGCCTCTTGTCTGTACAACAAGGTAGCCTATATTACAAACTGGAATAAGAGGGTAAAAAAAATGGAGCACCAAATACCCTAATAATTTAAGAGGTAAGGATTGGAGGTCCGAAGGTCAATCTCATGAGTTACCATGTCAATGGAATGTCAATTCTTAGAATATGGTAGATTGGTTGTTAACTAAAACGAATGAAGATATATGTAAAAGGCGACAGAGTAGAATTATGCACCGAGTTGGTTGATCTTCGACAGTTACTGTATTAACATAAGAGTGATTAAAGCCATATTAAGATCTACTTGAAACCAGTAATCACATCAGCTGAATTTATAACTTGACATAAATGTACATCTGTTGAACTTTTGATAGTGGTTGATGGAATGCGTCGATAAAAACTTAGCACAGAATACTAATGAAGAAGAAATCTTGTTAGTGTAAAATGTAAAACCAAATTAACTCAACTATTCACTTAGAATTAGGCAACTGGGTCTGTAACGGAAGATACCTTTGAAGTGTCAAGGTATCATTGGCCAAAGGTTCATATAACAGGCGAATACCGTACTAGAGGCCTACACTCTGGTGAAAGAAATAAAGATTATCAACACCACGGTTTTCTGCTACAAGTCATTCTGTAGATCAACTTCCACCTACCTGTATACAGCGGTCCCACTGTGCTGCAATCCGCTTTATTTAACTGCATGGCTGTGAAATATGGCCACTAAAGGTAGAAGACATGAGAATGCTTCAGGTGTTTGACCACCGCTGTCTTCGTAACATAGGCCGTGTTTCGTGGCCACGTGAGTAAAGCATAAGTCAGGCGTAGACTTTTAGGGAGGTAAGACAGTTGATGCGGTTGTGAACCTTCATCGACTGAGATAGCTGGCTGGAACATGTATTACGTATGCCGCCTAGTCACAGTCTGCTTCGTCACACAATATTGGCCGAAGTAGGTTCAGGCTGGAAAAAGGCTTGCAGCGGCTAGAATAAAACATGATATCAATGCACGAAGTCCTTGGCTATTGGTTTGAGCCATGTAGGACGATGTAGACTAGTCGGTTGGGGTACGCGGCAAAAGAGAAACCATTGGTTGGAGACTGACTAGGTGATACGGCTCAGGATCGATGTTAGTGGTGCAGATGCATATACACATTATCCTCACCTTAACCGCTATACATAATCTCATCATCTTCCCATTTTTCCTTCCTCTTGCATACTACTTTCTGCTCCTACTTCTTTCGACCGGTTTTTCTTTCCTTCGTCATCCTTATTTTATTGCTTTGTTACTTGATGTGGTGATATGACGTGTAGCAACTTGGACTGTTACGCGGTAATGCCTGGTCTTATGCTGATCTTGATGATGATGATACAGCGAGTTCAGTATATGCAGTGATTGGAAGTATTACCACAGGATGAAGTATTTTTCCATTCATATTCTGATCAAAAGAGTGAGGTTAGTACCATACATGTTGACTTCCTGATATCCTTAATATTGTAATCCACAAGTTCCACAACGACAAGTTGAAACTTACAAAAGCTGGCCCCTTCAATTTTCCACCTCTTCATTGAATCCTATTAGAAATTTAGGAATATAATCTCCCATCTGGTTCCTTGATAGTAAAACATACACTAAAAATTTAGTCAGTCAACATCAACACGGTA